GGAAGGAGTGGGAGGCGGGGGTCGGTGAGGAATAGGAGAGAGACAGAGTGAGGAGAGGAGGGATGAGTATCTGGTCTTTCCCGCGTTCCTTGGATGATAATGCCAAAGTAAGCACAGTTTATCTCTTCCGGGGGGAGCACTGAGGCAAAGTGAGAGGAGAGCTGTTTCTGGGAGAAGAGAGACAGACATGCACACGCATGTGCCTTTAGACACGCATGCTGAAGTCTCACATGTCCCTTCATGCGCGCAAACTTGTACACACACCCGCCACACTCACCCTCACACTCAAGAGTTTCCCATTGTGGGCTGCAATTCGATGTGCATTAATACTAAGCTGCCAAATCATCCAGCAGATCCATTGTGTGTGTGTGCGGGATGAGATACACATTTCTGTCAAACTAGCTAGAGCCACGATGGAGAATGCTCTCGGGTTTATTCTTTATTGCCTACTGCAGCACAAGGCAATACCTCATGCATAAAGCCTCACAGGAAAAGGAAATCTGGAAGATATTTTAAGCAAATTTACACCATCAGAATTAGCCTATATGTGTTCAGCACTTCATGTCAGGTAGCTACAACTTTTTTGGTACCATACAAGATTTACCATATTACTGAATCATTGCCTCTTTCTCTCAGGAACACTGCATTCACATGCATAACTAATTCACTTACACACACATTTACGAGCATGCCGAGACTCCCAGATGTTTGCAGAACACTACAGAGATAATACCTGCAGGTCTGTGTCAGAACCCTCCAGGAATGAAGCAGGACAAAGATGCACACCGTAATTTAAAGCTTTTTACATTTGATAATTTTTGTATGTACAAACTTACGCTCCTCTGTGGACGTGTGTGTGTGTATTCGTATGTAATATTTACCCATTTATCTAAGCCACTGATAACTTTAAATACCAACTTATCTCTTCCTTTTTTCCAGTACCACTGTATGCATTCCTTTTCCTTGCCCTCCCCTTCTATTACCCCAAACGCTTTTGTGGGACCTATTTTACAGCATTGAAATACTGCTGTAGAAAAATGCCAATGTCTTGCAAGATAACGACTGCTTTCTTACAGAAAGGAGTCATCATTTAACAGTTGTTCTCTGAACACGAAGCCGCAAATAGCTGAGCCTGTAAATCTAGAATGAGCAGGGAAAGTTGGAGAAATTCTGCCTCGACTTTTAACCCCAACTCCAGGTTGCAAAGGGTTTAAGTCAGTATGTGTGAAACCCTACAGCAATAATAACAGAAGTCAATTACCACTTGCTCATGGGTCATTTCTTAACATATACAACCTTGTCTAACAATAATACATGGGGGGGGAATATTAAAGTTGACAGCTCACAGCTATCAGCTATTAGTTAATGGTACTAATACCATAATTATTTGGAAAATATTCCTCCCTCCATGGTAAAGATTCCCATTTTTACAATATTTTTTAATTACTAAGGAAAGCTTATACTTTTTCATGCAATATTAATCTAGTTGAAAGTTCAGTTTTCTGACAAAAGGTGTTTTGAAAGAAAATTTTCAGCCCACTCTCAGCAGGGTGTAGCAGAGCCAAGGAAATCAAATTCTTTTGTTGTTTCTAGACTCAGCAACCATAGAATAATCATAAAAACCTAGTATTTTTAAAACTGCCTCTCGTTCATGCATTTAGAACAATTTTCAGTAGAGGTTACATACCAACAATTCAGATACTTCCTAATCTCACAGCAAATTTAAGTACAACTCTCACCCTGTCTCTCTGCCCTGCCCCAAATGAGGAATTGGCTTCATACTTCAGTAGTCTAAAACCACACCCACCTTTCTGTGTCCGTTTGAAATCTCCTCCGTTTGAGCTCTTGCAGCTGGACACAGCATGGGAATATATTAGTCTCCAAAAGCCTCTCAAAACAGATAGTATTGTAAGTAAACACCAGAAGTGAAGCCCAAACCAAATGATATGATTCAAAGATGAGAAGACGACACTCAGATTCTCAGAGCTTGAATTTACTTAAGAGATCTTGATGCCCAAATCACACTAGGAATTTGATGTTCAGCTCTCCTTCCCTCTCTCTGTCTCAGTATCTGATGCTCTTTTTCTTCAATAAAATCCTATCAGGAAATAAGATTTCTTTTGAAGTACAAGCAATTAAGGACCTCTTTTCAGATCTGAGCCACAGCCCAAAGACCAAGATCAATGGGTGTTTTTCTGTTCATGGGATTTCAATAGTTCCCCGAGTGCTCGTGTTTACCACTTTTTAGAATCAGTCTGGAGTACTAGAAAGAAAGAAAAACTGTCCTAGAACAGCAGCAACATGCCATTTCACTAAAACAAACTCTGTTTGCTTTCCTCCGTTTCTCCAAACAAGAGGCTTCTTGACATTTGTCTACTATGATGAAATAAAGTCTCTTCTGCCAGCAAGAAAGAGGTCCCAGTTATTATGTCTTCAGACGCAATTTAGAACCTTGAAGAGCATACAGTTCCAGCTAAATTAGCTGGTAACACGGCTTGGCTGGATGTCATGGGGAGGATGAACAAATAATATTAAAAATGTGCTGTGGTTACATGCAGGATTTCTAGAGGAAGGATAGCCTGACTGGAGATATTTGGCATGTGGGAAACCTAGACAAGGACTATAAAATCCTCAAAATCTCATTTGGCAAAATCTCCCCTCAGGAGAAGAGGAAACACCCAGGAAAACCTGACTTATGATAACCCTGTCAATATTCTGTTAGCAATGGTCCAAATACTACAGCCTACAGTAATACAATAGTTTGAACAATTTCTGTAGCAATATCACATGTTTTTTGTAGGGGCCTTATGGCATTTCTGGAGTATCTAATCTACCCTGCAAGCAAACCAGCATCCGTGGAACATACTACATTCCACAGCCCATCTCAAATAACCAGTTTAGCTGTCTTAAAGCAAGGTTCTGCTTGGAAAACTGTCATTTTCACTGGTACAGCCAGGCACCAAACTAAGGAAAAACCAAAAATGTTTCAGTCCAGAACAAAATATGCTCAATTTATGTACAGAGGAGTTTTGAGTTTGTCTTTAAATAAATGCCAGTCCAACATGCTCACCACTGGCTTTGGTAAACAAGTTTGAGTTCTTTCCATCTGGTGCCCCACCAGGAGTAATAATGTGCAGCAGGCTACAAGATGCCCATTTTGCCTTCAGTGGTCCTGGTCAGGAATTACGGACTAGAGCAATATGAGCCACTGATCCTCGTGCAAGTATGAATAATCCTTTTGAAAACTGATCTGTGCCCAGTAGAACAGCTAGGGTATGCAACAGTTGCACGATCATTTTCCCAACGTTGCCCAGGGAAGTTCATCATATTTTCATTTCTAAGCATAGAAACACTTCCACAAGTCTATTAAGATTCCTGCAAAGATGGGAAAGGGGAAAAGGAAGAAAGAGAAGAAAGAGGTCTGTCTCATTTGACTGGGGGACAGAAAATAACACTATATTATATAATCTATTAAATGTTCCAAGCTTTATTTCACATTAAAGCTCAATGCCAATGGTTTTATATGTGTGTGTGTGTTTTTGTAAAAAACCTGTGTAGCTGTTCTGGCAGATCTGCACTGATCCATTGCCATAATTTTTTTTTCCCAGTGGTTCAAATCTCTGACATCAACACAGCGCTCTAGTACAACGATACTAGACTAAATAGTTTAATTTGCAGTGCTAAGCTCTAAATTGTTTTCCCTGTGGTTTGAGAGTGAAAATTTGGCACATCAAACAGGCCACAAAATCATCCAAATTAAACTTCATCCAAACAGTTGAACCCACTCCTGTAAGCACCATAAGCAAATTTATATCCAAGCATTTGGATTTACATCGTCTTGGATTATCTGCTAGCATATATAGAACATGATAAAACAGGTGATTACTCAATCACTGGCATAAAATGGACCTAAAATAAATATCAGTCAATATCGGTTGGCAAGTTCTGCATGATCCTGAGGTTCCCTTTAACATGTACATTTGAGCGTCAGATTTGTGAAAGAAAAAGTTGTTTTCTTTTAGTCTTGGGTGTTCACAGATTACTTCCCCTGTATAGTAAAGTGCTTTTCATGATGTTTTAATAGCACTGTGGTGTTACAAATACATGCGTAACTATAGTATAATTTTGCCAGAATGCATTTAAGGAGTATGCTGAAATACGTATTTCAATGGCAAATGGTGACAAGAATATAATGGCCACGCACATTGGGGGTGCTTTCTTTGGAGATTTAATGGGTGACTTCTTAAATATGCATGAAGTGGTAAAGCTCCATTGAATTCAGTGGAAGGAGGATGAGCTACATTGGATGAGGGTCTCACTACATCTCTATAAATCACTGAGGGAATTTTTTAACACTTTGGATCTGATCTAGACATTCACTCGGTGTAAACATCTGGAAGATACTTCTGTTTTTTGTTGGTGTGAGAGGAGTATCCAGCTATCTCTTTCAAGGTTTTTGAAAGTTCTAAGGCTTTTAAAATCAGACATCCTTCCTGTCTTGTTAGCCTCTACCTCCTACCCATCTCTCTGGTGCTGTTTTCAGGAACTGGGAACCTCAGTGGGACGGGATGGAATTTCCTTTCAGTTCTCCCCTGCGAGGCACAGGGCCGGGAACCGAGTAACAGCTCAGACTCAGCAACTGCTGTCTCTGTTTTCATTGTGAGCAGCGCAGGATGATGAAGAGTTCAAAATGAGGCTTTCAGCTCTTGTCAGAGATCTTCTCAGGCTGTGGGTCTGTTTTCTCTCACAAAATTTACATCGGTGTGAGCACTGACATCATATTACTTATCTCCCTTGGAACAGGCTGAGGTTCTACACAGAGCCTTCCTCCACTCCTTCCTTTTAACCTCTGCATTAACCTTTAACTGCATTTGCTGCAGTCCTTTCCAGTTCTGTCCTGTGGCACCCTCAGTGGTTGTCAGTGTAAGCCATAGTCTTCAATCCCCACCTTACAGACAATGTCTGCCTTGTGAGACCTTCTGAGATTACTTCTTCCACACGACATTCTACAGTTAAAGCCCGGGCCACCCAAGGAGACAAGAGCGGTGGCCTGCAGTGAGTTGCACACTCAGCATTGTTGCCTGAAGGCCAGCATAGTTGAAGGAACACAGGTGTAACTGCATCTGTGCTGAGCAGTAGCCAGAGAGAGAGAGCCTTTTAAGCAGGTCTTTAATTCGAAGGAGCCCAACTGAAAGGCATCCTGCCTCTGCATGCAGCCATCACCCTGCTGCAAGATGTTGGCATACACACGCGTGGCCCTACTACACAATCTGATGCGTGGCATCTCACAGGATAGGACCCAGAAATGCTTGAGCTCTCTGCCTTTTCCCCAAGGGGCTCTACGCACACGGATGCTAGCATACCTCCACGGAGCTCCCCCCAAGAAGTCTGTGGCAACCCTGCACACAGCAACTGCCTGTGATTTTCTCTTGGTTCTCCCCTCTAGTTGCAGAAGGATTTGTGCAAAGCTAGTTTGTTCCTTCCAGCATGGGCCGTGTTCTCTGTGCAGGTGCACCACTGTAACTCTGATGACTCCCATTTACTCAGGTTACTGCAAGTTGGCCCTGAGACGAAGCATGGGTCTTGCTGCCTCCTCCTCCTAACATAATCTTTAAGGATATAAATTACAACTGTGTCCACTGTGACTACTGAACTAGAGGGTAATCAGGTTTAGCACAGTAATATGGATGATTTAAAGTTATGGGTTCTTATGCCTGTTATCAGTGTAGTTCCAAAGGTCTGACCCAGGTTCTGTTTACCTCTGGTGTAAATCTAGACTAATTCTATGTGCTCAGTGGAATTAAGGTTGTGTAAAGCTGAATGAGAAGGGAATCATTATTTAGGTATCGAAGGTGGTGGACAGATGTCCCCTTCAGGATTCTGCTATTTTAGTGGTAGGGGATATCACCTCCAGCTTTTCATCAATCACCTTGCAACAATCTGGCAAACTCAAGCGCAGAAAAAGAAGTCTTTCTGCTACCTAGAAGAGATATTCTACTATTATACTTCAACCCTATGTGAAGAAGAGATGTCTGTTCATGGCTTGAAAATGGGACTTGGAGACAGAACTAGTCCTCTCTGGCACATTTTCTTTGCATGGCTTTGAGGAAATCATTTTACCTCATGCTTCATTTTCCCCTTCTGTTAACTTAGATTGACAACCTTTTTGGTGAAGAGATTTTTCCTAATATCCAATCTAAACCTCCCCTGGCACAGCTTGAGGCCGTTTCCTCTTGTCCTATCACTTGTTACTTGGGAAAACAGATCGACACCCATCTCGCTACAACCTCCTTTCAGGAAATATCTATTTACACCAGGATATTAACCAGTGGCATATACAGAGTTAATTGTTTTGGGTGCATTTTGCCGTGAATTATATCAGTGAGGATTTATTCCACTCTGTAGATATTTAATTCTCTTTGACATGGGCTCCATAACTTAATTTTGTAGCACGGTAAAGATAATAGCTTATTCTGCAATTCATTTACACAGAGACACTTCTGATAGTGGTCAGTGTCTTACAAAAACCCTGATGTGATAAACTGTAACACAAGGCAGCTACTCAGTAAAATTCAAGCCAAATGCAGTTTCTGCCTTTCTGAAATATTTTGCGGGGCAGGAAAGAAGCGGAGGGCTGTCATACTAAGAGCCTCTACCTTCCACGTTTTTATAAAACCTGTGGGTCAATGCAGTCATTTTTCACCTGGACAGCTCCATCTGAAGGCCTGTAAGGCTTGAGAGATTAAATGCATTGCAAGTGTAAGTGTGGAAAGACACCTAAAGACAGTGTGACCTGGATTCCATCTTCTAGTTCTTAGAAAACCCTGACTTTTGGTAATGACTTTATATAATTTAAGTTAGGAGCATCATTTTCCTAAACTGAAATATTTACACAACATCTAGCATTAATGTAGTTGTATCACCACTCATGTTACTCATAAGAGTAGAGCTTGTTGCTTTTACCAAATAGGATTCAACTCCTATGACAGAAGCACCATTTAGAAGCCCTTCCGTTTTGCACTAAAACCCAAGACAGTCAATTCAACTACTCTCACAACTCCAACAACAGAAGCCACGCCTGGATTTACCTCTGCTGACACGGTCGCCATGAACACGTGATACCTTAATTACAGCAGGTTGCCACATACATAGAAAGTTTAAAGTTAGTCTGTCCTGCAGGCAGAATTCTACAACATCCCTGCAGCAAACTGCTCTCTCAATGGAATTTTTAGAGAAATCCCTACTGTACTTCCCTTAATCAGAACATGCTTGGCAGCCTTCTGAAATCTCTAGTCCTGTAGAATATACAAATACATGATTTAGATGCTTTGGCCCAGCCGTGAAAGCGTCTTATCTCCCCTCCCAAAGGTAAAAAACAATTAATCAGACATGAAAATATGCAAGGCCAAATCCCACAAGGTGCTGAGTACAGCCTGAAACATGCTGGAATATCCAACCTGCTCTACTCAAGGCAACACATTTGTCCCCCCTCTTTTTAATTTTACTATTTACTTATTTGTACGATGATAGCACAAGGGAAACACAGTCACAGGCCAGAACTCCTTTCGTGTTAGTGCTAAACAAACAGTGAACAACAGGCTATGCCCTGTATGATATAAGTATATGACAACAGACAAATGGCGATGCAGACAAATAGCATTGGTCTGTGACCTCAACACTGCCAAATTTTGTCTTAAAAATGCTATCATACACAATGTGAACAGCAAAGTCATTCACCCAGATGCTATCACCCAGATGCTAAGCATGGTATGCATAGGGCCAGTAAAAGTGTCCAACGCTGTCACAGATATGCAAGATCATGCGGATTCTACTCCGGGCACCACCATTGCAGCTAAGATGCTTCTCTGCCTTTCACTTCTCTGAGCAACTTGGCACTGTGGCATCGTTTTCCATTGGCTTTGGTAGGGCCCACCAGTAAATGACAGCAGCAGTTGCTAGGAGGCTCAGCCCACCCTGAAGTTCAGGATAACTGAGCAGAGCTTCTCGTTGGGCACATTTAACATTCTTTCCAGGCCAACTCAGTTCATGGGAAGTAGCATCCTACAAACTACCGCAGTATCCTTATGCTCAGAACTTTCAGTTATTTCCAGTACTGAAGAGGCCACTTCCTCCTTGACCAGATGATGGGAAGCT